GAGCTAGGACGGAAGTAAATACTGAGTGCCTTGTTATTGGTCTCCTGTGCAGACCAATCTGGATATCACAAAATGTTTTGTACTGATTAGGGATTCCTTCGGTAACTGCTACTGTTTAAATGCATTCGCGGAAGGCATATTCTTCACAGATGAAGGTGGATATATGCATACATATAAGATATACTAATAGTGAACAACTTCATTGTCGTACCTTCGTCTTCAGACATCTACAGTTATATGTGTTCATATGTAAGGTTGAAATATCTGTCACATTCAATAAAGGCAAATGGAGAAAGGGGGAAGGGAGTACCTCGGTCGATTCCGGAGATTTCCGATGGCCTTGTTCACGTGCGACTTGTCACGTCATGTTGCGTCTTGATGACTCAAAGTCACAAAGTTGGAAGAAAAAGGGGGAAAGGGTATAGCTTCCCGTGACGGTCTCGTACGAAAAAACAGCTGCGTGCTGAAATGCAGCCTCGGCTGTTCGGTCATTATCACAAATCTACCCGAAATCAGTCATTAGAAAATAAAATCAAAGCTCTAGCTCTTTCACGTGACAACACTGCACTGACACGAAAACTCGCTAGGTAATCCATTTCTGTACAAAATGGTTGCTCATTTAGCTTAAAATTTCTGGTAGTTCTATAAATGCTCGTTTTTGTTATTGTTTAATTTCATATCAAAGATTATTTGTTTTTTAGCGATAATATTGATTTGTTTTTTTCTTCATAGCTGATAAGTTAGTAAAATTGTTGCTACCAAACCACATGCACCATCTGTACCTGCTTTGTCTGTCAATAATCAGTTCTATTTGTTTCATTTTAAATTTTTATCCTGAATGGTTCGGATTAGATTTATGTTAGTAGGCGAACCATATGGAGGCAAAACTACCGTGTTGCATGTTCTGGCCGATACAATGACGCGCCTGAACGAAGCCGGATACGAGGAGTTTGAACGAGTTTTGTACAAAACCATCAATCCGAAGTCGATCACCATGGGCCAGTTGTTCGGTGAATTCGATCCAGTCTCACATGAGGTATTGTGATGTGATGTGTGTTTGATGTCACTAAGGCTGAATAAAATCTATCATTGTTATATTATGCCATAAAAAAACTATTTCAGCCATCCCCAGCCCGCTATCTACAATCAGGATATTGAACTTGTTATACCGGATGAGACCGTGCATATATGTTTCCACCCGGTGCCGGTCACATGCTAAATCACAAGTTTTCATGAGGGAGAAAAAAACTATTCAGAATGACGTATACTACTGAATCAGAAGTGGCATACAGTTCATCATTAAGAAAAACGCGCATTCAAACTGTTGATTGGGTTAGGACAGTTTTTGAAACATGCCACACACGCAAACGTGCATTTCGGTGTCTAATTGACCACTCACTCTCCGGACTATTCGTTGCCCCGTATACACCCAATGCATGTGACAATGCATTGTCAGTCACACACAGGTACACATATGTATACATATATGCGTACATACATACATATCTATACAGTGTGGAGGGTAAAACTGTTTGTATCCACCTATACGAATTGTGTTCTACACTGTTTGACAGGTAATCATAGAACTTCTGGTTCATCGTGACGTGATGCTCGAAGTTTGGTCTGCGAAGAACTGTGTAAACTTTCGAACAGGATGGTCTTTTCGTTGAGCGCTGTTTTAACTACAACATTTTTATCCGTTACAAAATTAGTAAAAGCCACTCTGTCAAGTTCTTGTGTTTGTACTCAAGGTGTACATTTTCACACTACAGATAAACTGCCAACCGACAGTACATTGGCCACTTCCCAATCGCGAAACAATAACGAGAATGCTGTCTCTTTAGAAATCATTACACATCAATGATCGATTGAGGCAGGCAGACAAGTGGGTTTTTTGCATGAATTTTTAACTTTGTAACCACGATCAAGCTATTGTGACCGACGGACTATTTGATCCCATACCCCAGTCGTTGCAGTGAAGATTTTCACCGGTCGGGGAGAAATGGAAAGAAGAGACAGCACATAGAGAGGCAACAATATCGCAAAAATAGACTGTTATTATGCGTTGGAGATGTGCACGTGACCGAAGGGACTGGTATTCGTCTCGTATCTCTTTTCACTTATATCCGTTTACACAGACCTGTCAACCCATTTTTCAATCAAATCACCAGTCATATTGAAACGAAACAGTAGCACTGAATTGCCAGGTTGATGAGTTTCGTGCACTGAATTGAGTTGCTATGTCCTGAGAAACGGGGAAATCATAAAATGTGGAAATGTGTGGTTATGCAAACTGAATGTTGTTTGTACCTGTTCAAGATTCTTCAGACAATGGTAATTGAACGCTTGTCATTTTACATAATGAACTTCGTCGGCTACAGAGCAAATTGAATGTATATCTGATGCAAAACTATACCTTTTTCAGTTTAAGATGTCCGAAGTCCAATTTAAGATGTCACAATATGAATTTAAGATGTCTGAGTAACAATTTAAGATATCATGTCGCTATGTTTTCACTCTGTACTGTGCAAGGTACTATCCACATAGCAACATGACATCTTAAATTTGTACTCGGACATCTTAAATTCGTATTGTGACATCTTAAATTGGATTTTGGATATCTTAAACTGAAAAAGATATGGTAGACAGTTATCTTGATCTTGTGGCACGTACGCAGAAGTGCAAGCGGATTTCATATCCCGTAACAAGTCTTACTGAATCATGAACGAAATCATTCTCACGATGAAAATGATGGCAAATTTATACAATTTTATCAGGAGGGCTGACATTAATCCTAATCTGTGTGTGAAACATTTCCGTGAATTTAATCCTTCACTGCTAAATTCCTTGATTATGTACTGGTTTGTGGTTTCCATAACACCTGGCTGGATTGTGCAAGCCTTAGCGAAGACAAAATGAACATTGTCGGTGATTCGCAAGTCACAGGGACAACAACTGACTTCAATTGAAGATAGGTGCTGAGAATAGTTCCAACAAAAATAAGTAAACAACCCTCCGTTTATGCGGTCATACATTCTAATTGCCTCCTGAATCTACCCAAATAAGTGAACGAGCGACAAATTCATTCGCTGGGTCGAACTCCGGACAAGGTCAGGTCGGTCAGACGAATGGTAGATCTACGAACACAATAACGCAGCAGCGAATATTAAAATCCAGTTTCACCCTATAATTTACGTTGATGGGTTCGGGTTAGAATAGACGACACGAGAGATTATTTAATCTCGGAGGTTATTGAACCACTAGGAGTTCATTGGATGTGATTTCAGTTACATACCGCTAGTGAACTGGTTGTTACCGCGTAATTTATGGCAAACGGTTAGTTAAAACTCTAAGAGTCCGTTCGAATCTGATGGACTAACAAAGGCATCAACTCCAGATTGACTACTATCCATCATTCCCCACATTTCTAATGGAATCCAATAGGGGTGGTGCCTCAGCTATATATGGGTCCGTGGTGACTGTTGCCTGTGTAGCTCCTCCTTAATGTGAATACCGTTCGCAGGATTAAGTGTACGACCGAAAATCGGCAAACAATTTTCAAAGCAAACGGCTGATCAGAGGTTCCACTATCATACGGCGTGAGAAAGATAGGCCTACCAATATCCTCATGGTGGACAGAGGCTACACAGATGGACATCTGCATGATAACCGAATAAACCAAGCCTCAGTGAGATCTGTCTAATGCCGGAACCCTGACTGAGTGCACATTTGATCACACATTTGGAGCCACAAGTTCGTTAAATTGGCTTAGGAAAAATGCTAGCTGCACTATACTACTACTATAGTTGATTTTGGAGAAGATTTGGGTGACGGTGTAATGAGCAACATGTTCGAACTCGTTTGAGCACTGTTCACAGTGACTGTCACCTTGGTTGGACAACAGTGACCAGATATTAGGTGATGTCGAAAAACGCACTCGGTTGGCAGTGAAGCACTACATTATTGTTCCTATGGCACGATCGAGATTCACTCATTGTTTATTCGCATAGAACTTTTGACAGGTTCCGTTCAATTTCAGTCTGAACAATCATTAACCGTGAACTTTCGTAAGGTGGCTTTTGTTTGTCTTTGGGCTGCCCAATTCCAAAGTTGAAGGTAGTGTCACAGAGAAAATGGAGAATTCCGGTAGTTTAAGGGTAATAACCAAATTTATCTCCTTGGATGTAAACCACACATACGCACAAATACACACACCAATCACCTGCAGTTGGTTGAAAGAGCAACTGATTGCGGTCACCGGAGAGAGGCACAAGGCACCTCAAGGTTGGAAAAAGTCAAAATGGTCATAAAAAGGGTAGTGTTGTTTGACTCAGCTTATGAAAATAACGTTTTTCAGTCCAATTACACGGTGTCTGCTTGATTTTAAGCACCGTTGTCAACATTTAATACTGATAGGGTTAACTGTATCGAATGTGGAAATACAGATTTTTATTCCTGCACAGATATAATTATATTGATATGTCGGCTTTCTTTTCCGGTACCTGCGATTTCTTCACTTCCACTCAACATTTCACCCAGCAAAGCTTAGATTCACCCTACATTTCAGTAGTAGTGTGTGGGGGTGGGGTGGGTGTAGAACTTCGTCGCTACAAGAACACAGTTGGACATCCTGTAAACTCTGTAAACTGTATACTTATGGATGATATTTTTCATTTAGTTTATTTGCATTGACTGTTTATCAGGCTGCGAACATCACCCCTTGTTTTTGTTAACAGTGGACGGATGGTGTCACCGCCAATACATTTCGTGAATTCGCATCCAACGACACACCTGATCGAAAGTGGGTCATTTTTGACGGGCCCGTGGACACATTGTGGATTGAGAGTATGAACACCGTGTTGGATGATAACAAAAAATTGTGTCTGATGTCTGGGGAAATTATCCAAATGTCTCGAGTGATGAGCTTGATCTTCGAAACGATGGATTTATCTCAAGCTTCGGTAGGTCCTTTTGGATTTCAGTGACAGTGTTTATATACATATATATTTTAAAATAAGTAGTATATGAATGTGTCGACAAAATTTCCCTGAATGCACACTACTGGTTTCGCGGTTCTTGTGGCTGTTCAAGCATGCTTATCCGGTAATCTTTGGTCCAAGCAAATAAAGCGTGTTTGATCACTCTAGGATCGTTCTATTCAATTTTATGCCACTACGTCTCACTGTGTAAAATGGTGCAGAATTGGTTTCACATTCTCACTCTGAGCGACGGGAAGACAGAAGAGGAAACTCGGATAATGTTGGTACGTGTGCAAGTGGTGCCATTTGCGTTTACCAATCGCAGACATGGTTAAAGCCTCCGGGACTTCCTGCTCTCAGTTAAGGTTTGTCTGTGAGCTGCAGCGGTCTAGGAGACGCTACTCTGTGAGACAGATATGCGACTGTTGTCGGATAAGGATAAATACATACTAGCAGCATTCGAACTCCTCTCTCTCCCTATGACACAATGCACGATTCTGATGGGGAAAAACAGACAAGGATTGGTGAAGTATAGCAAAAAAATAGCTGTGGTCTTGCGTTCACTCGAGCGCCTCCTTTTCATTGATTGTGGTGACCGGTGCGTGTGTCACGCACGTCACTGAATGGTCTTCCCAAGTGCGAGATAGTCCTTGAGGAAAGCAATGGTCAGAAAAAGGATAAGGGTTGCTAAAGACTATGAAGTGGCAAGGGACTCGTCCACTTAAGTCATGTGAAGCCTCCTAGTTGAGCGATGCAACCGAGTATCGTAGACGAATTACGAGTGCATGTATTGACTATCTGTACACACATCACGGTGCTTGTATGCAATAGTTATTTTTTATCAATCCCAAATCTGCTGTGAATTAACATTATTTTATTTATCGTTTGACCGAATTGACAACTGGTAGATAAAAAAATAAAATGGACGCATCAAAATTAGTTCATGAATGACGGAATGGAAGTGATCAGGAAGTTGTTTCGACAAATGGGTTGGGAGTTACTTGCCTCGTTTCCGAAACAAAAAACAAAATCACCTCTCTGTGCATCAAAGCAATTTTTCACTCAATTCCCAGTGGCGTTCATCCGCTTCAGACCCGAGTAGATCATGAGGTCAGTGTAAGATAACGGATTATGATAAATTTATTGATCCCGTCAAGTCAGGTGTCAAATCAGTAGCTGCGTGAACCGGCTGTGGCGGGATGAGATATAAGTAAGCCACAAGCACGCAATGATGTTTGTACAACTGTCACACGGTTGAAGGGAGACAGATGTCTCGTTTTGATACGAAAACTGCAGGCCTAATGAGATAGTCACAGGGTTATAAAAGATCAACTATGATTCATGAATAACAGAAATCTCTGACTATTTTCCTTGAAACAAATCGTGATACTTTACCACTGGAATTTACATCAGATATTGAAACTTATGTGGTATTCCACAGTTTAGCTAATGGCTGTAGGCAATCTAGATAGGATCGATGATAATCATCAAATGGTGGGCGAAGGATTTTGCAACGCGCTGCACAGTGAACGATACGGTAAGTCATGCAAAATATAACGCATTATTGAGAAATAAACCCCTCCGTGGGTTGTGGTCAGACAGATCCCATATAAATAAAGCAATGTTTAAATTGGATAATCAGTTAGTTGTGCGTAAAAACCCGATCTGTTCCGCAAAACTTCTCGGAACATCATAAACATCAATGAAGCGAGTTGGGTAAAAACACATTTGATTGTTCTCAGCAATTTCCTCCAGTAGTGGTCACCCATTCCACTCCTGGAACCCTTCGTGAATTTACGACCGCGAGTCTCGACAAGTAGGCGGTGGTGGCCAAATGATCAGGTCACCAACTTGTGACCTGGGAGTTCCAGGTTCGAACCGCTTCTGTATGTTGACTGTACATTTGTATATTCAATAAATAAAAGAGGAAGTAAAAAGACATACTTTATTATTTATTTAAGTTCCAAAGAGGCAGCTACTCGCAGGAAAGTTCAAGTGGTGCACTGACCAATAACCCTTTCAGGACGCTAAGCGAATGCACGGCAAACTTATAAGTGAAGGCAACAGTGCAGCCATGGCAAGCCGTGCCAATCTGTGACTGAATGAAGCGATGGGAAATCTTTTTTTAATAGCCTTGGATATACACTAAATCCACTGGTTAACACTCGCTGTACGTGATGCACGAGAAAGAATATCGCTTGATACTCTATAGTATGGTGTCAGAGATCAAATGAGAGAGAAAAAACTGAATAGAACGCGATAGTATTGTAAGTTTGTAAGGTAAAAATCAACACACCGGGAAATGGAGCACCAGTAAAGTCAGTGAGCCTTCCCGAAGAAGAGTAACGGCATTAGTTCAAGTGGAACGCAAACATTGAGGCTGAAGAGAATTGTAGATGAAGAGAAAAAGAGCCAGGCTACGGCCGTCAGCCAATCAACGACCAATCGGTGGAAGTGGAATGGACCAATCCAATGTGACCAAACTGTAGCTCGAGCACGGATTCAATGAAAAGTGTTTAAACAACGGCCGGCAGGCAGGGAAGACAGCTTGAGCGCAATCGGTGAAACAATCAATAAACCATGCCAATGGACATACGGAACAGGATGGGCGGTAGGAGGAGGCAAGGTATATATCTATATATATGTATATATATATGTGTGTGCGTGTGTGTGCATGGTTAATGGTTGTAAAAACTGAACTGAACTGAACTGATCTTTGCCAAAAAATATGCAATGTTTACTGCCAACGGAATTAGGTGAGTAATTATCCAATTCATACGTTTCACATGCGTCCAACGCCTTCAGATCGACAAGTAATGGTATACAAGGACAAAGAAGCATGATAAGATGGTCAGGGGGATCCTATCAGAAGCATACAAAATAGCCAACTATACTGCATATTCAAAAGAAGTAAGTTTAAGGTAGTAGAAAGACCCTCGATAAGTATTCCTGGAATCGTGAAATTCCCTTTGACCCTCTCTGCGATACGATTGGATCATTTCCCGCGATTTGCGCCACTTGGAATCCTTAAACTCGACATGAGATTGTCTAATCAACGGTTCTCAATGTTTATGATGCTCTTGTTGTCACCTGTAATCTATCCGTGTGTGACGATGGCATTCCTGCTGTGCATAGTCTAAGTTCACTGGGCATCCTAAAGACTCGCAGCGGTGAGGGTTCTCGCTCGGTTTAGTTGGGCGAGCATCACATCCCTTGTTGCAGCGGAGCCATTCGACCGATCGGTAAATGAACCCGACCGATCGGATGATTGTCGGAGCGATGTAAGATGTTTTGTTATGAATCTGCGTTGGCAGAGAATCATCGCAGGAAAATCAGTTATGAAGCGATGCACAACTATGGAAATTCTAAATGGAAATTTAGCTCTTCGGTCATTGGAGACTTATTATTTGTCTCATATCTCAAAATAAACCATGTGAAAATACCTTCAGTGTCTTTTCTTCGTGATTATCGATTTAGTTTGACGGTTGAGTAACTTTCAAAACCATTAGTTTTCGTTTCAATCGTCTTTATGTGTGTTGTGCTGCTTCGAGCGAATGTATTCATCTAATAGGATCCAAATATTAATGCTCGGCATCTGACAAGGCAAGCTAATATGAATTTTGTACGCATGATACATTTCAAATCCTTATCCAGCCAGCTACTGTTTCACGATGTGGCATGATTTACATGGAACCATTATCACTCGGTTGGCGTCCGCTGGCCCGATCTTGGGTAAATCGGTTACCCACGCCGCTTGTTGCTGGCGACGGGCGAGATGTAATCAATGCGATACTCGAATGGTTTATCGATCCCTGTCTGGAGTTTATGAAGATGAATTGCCGTTCCATGGTATCCACCAGGCAAGCCAATTTGGTCATCTCGTGTCTGAGCTATGTGGATATGCTGATGGAGAAACCGGCGAATCAGGAAGACGCCTCCGAAAACCGGTATCTGCGACTGTGGTTGTGTACCGCCTTCGTGTTCGGTGTGGTCTGGGGTCTTGGCGGTTGTCTGGATTTGCAAGGTCGCCAAAAATTTGACCATTTCCTTCGAAGTCTACTGCTGGGTCAGAATGAGGCAAATCCAGTTCCTAAAGAATTGGGTGGTCGTATTGAGTTTCCGTTTCCCGAGAATGGATTGGTCTACGACTATTTCTATGAGGTAAGTGCAGTCATTTTTTGTTTGTTCTTTTGCATTTCACAAGAGAAAAATCTGGTTTTTCTTGATGGTGTGAACTTTTGATGAATTTGATGGACTCAAATTAATTGTGAACTCCTGTCATACCACTACTGGTCGATTAAATTTCGGATGGGATATCACCAATTTGCATACATAACATAAAACATCTCATCAGAAACATACGATCGCCGTCCCCGACACACTGGAAAATGCATAGGGCAGTCGGTAGTTATTTTTTCAGATACATCACCTGGCCCTCAGGGGTATTGTTATATTTTTGATCATTGAAAGAAATCAACCTTGTTACCTACTACTCACTTGTGAGTTGTATCTCACAACACTAATAGTAATAATAATAATAGTGATCATAGTTGTGGAAATACTAATGTGAAACACACTATCTGCATGCGAACTGACGGGTACTGAATGCAAAGTTCGTTGGTCTAAGATACAGAGAGCTTCCCGAAAGATTAGTCTATACGTTTTCTCCCCTCGGATGCGACTTGACTATATGAGAGGACTAGCAAGACATCCGTCTGGTCAACATTTCGACCGATCTGATCAAACTAAGTGTTCAGTTGATTTGCGGCGGTAATAGGTGCACCAAACCGCGCATACCACGGCTTTCACCGAGATAGTAGCTAAGCTGATCAAACATCTACCCTCTGTCGGATTTTAGAATACCAACACTAGTTCCAACAGTCAACAAGAGCCTGATTACGCACTGCTTTGTATTCCATCCACAGAAACTCATTTTGGAACATAATTTAGGCTGATTGTATGCCGGAAAAAATTATATTACTCATTAAGACACTCCTCGAACATTC